CCCAATTCCAGTCCTCTGGCACCATCTGCCCACTTTACAGAGATGGCATCTCAGTGAGGTTCCTCCTCCAGTTTTAGCCGATTGTTAAACCTGTTCGTGGGGGTATAAATCTTAACGGAGCGGGTAAGCCACAAATAAGGGATAAATTGGGAGGCTTCCTGCAGGAAGATTCCTCTGCTTTAGCCCATTTCGCATGGGTCTTTCTGCGCGGGCATCCCGTTGTCGGGAGGGACTGAGAAATTCCTGCCTTTTGCGCATCCTCCCCATTGGGACCTAGGCGGGCAGAAGACCAGCTCTGGGGGCAACTGGAAGCACCCTCTTTGTTTCTGCTTTGCCGAAGAGAGGCCCCTTGCCAAGGAGCCGAGCGATGCCATGTTCTGTAAGGCTTCTGGCCAAAGTCTTTCCTCGACTGCTTTTTCCCAGGCTGTAAACCTAAATATTTCTCAAGGAACACAAGCTGAGTCCACATGTTGCACTAAAAGCCACAGCGTGGCTTGAACTTAACATGTTGGCTGGAACCGGCGGCTTGGATTTGTAAGCCATGGTTTAGTTTGATGGGGGAATCCAGCCGAGGAGGGCTCATTCACAAACAGGAGTCAGCAAAACAAGGCTTCACGTGGCGCGAACCACAACTTCTTCCTGGGCCTGCCTGTTTCTTCTTTCTCCTCCCTTCCATTGTGTAACTTAGATTATCCAGGGCCAGGCCAGGACATCTGCTTTGCCTTATGCAGGCTGGGGGGTGCTGAACAAATAAAAAATACATTTCTTTGCCAACATCCATCCACGATTGTCCGTCTGACTGGCAGGGTTCCCTTTTGAAAACTCTTCCTCCTTTTGAATCCGGAGGAAATGGCCAGCTGGTTAGCTAAAAGTGTTCGCCTTCGATGTGTTATTTTACTGGTAGCCCAGAGTCCATTTTGATTGGGCAGTATATAAATACTGTCAAAGCCCTAAATCAAATAAATATGTAACTAAATAAGAGCTTTCAATGTGGCTGGTGCACTAGCATCTGCCAGTCTTGACTACTGTAACGCGCAGCACGCGGGGTTGACCGTCTGTCTAGTCCCGCCACTTCAGCGGCTGCAAAACGCAGCAACCACCTTGCAGCTATGCTGGTTATCCTGGCTGAGGCCCGAAGTGGCTTCGATCCAGGCTACTTTGGAGTAACCGCTTCAAGACCATTCTCCTTTTTGTTCAGGGCTCTTGCAAGCAGCCACATCAATTGGGTTGTCTGTCTAACCAGTCCCCTATTCCAGTGTTTCTCAACCTCAGCAACTTTAAGATGGGTGGACTTCAGCTCCCAGAATTCCCCAGCCAGCAGACCTTAAGATGGGTGGACTTCAGCTCCCAGAATTCCCCAGCCAGCAGACCTTAAGATGGGTGGACTTCAACTCCCAGAATTCCCCAGCTAGCATGATTCAATAACATCACCACGAGATGATGTCCTGGAGCTGTTTATGAAATGGAGTAAAGTAGCCCATGTTTCTTGCTAACATCCTAGTTGAAATTGCAGCAGGGCAAGGAATGTAAGGATTTATTTATTTTTTTAAAAAAGACTTGGCATCTGTTTAGGAATCTTTTGAAAGGCCAGAAAAAGGGGGAAAATACATGCACAGTTGCTCGTGAGTCATACGGTTGTACGAGATGGGAATAACTGACTCAAAATTTCCTGTGGATTTGCATTCATGCTAAAAAGATTTGGCGGTAATTGTGGTTCTGGTGGGAAAAAAAAGACAGAGATGGATAGACAAATACAAAACGCTAGTATGTTTTTTGCTCGTGGACCTCTTGCTTTCTATACTGCGTTTTTATTACAGGAACGGCTTTATGAAACTTGGATCTCTTTATACTAAGCCTGCTTAGCTTCATGGTGGCTGTCTGAAGGATGCTTTTTAACTAAAGCCCTGGCCAAATGCGGCTTATGGGGTTTTTTTTACGGTCATGAAATCCTGTTTGTTCCATCGATGCATAGCTGTTCTACCAGTATTTATTTTGAAACCCAGACAGATTGATTTTCCTCCGGTGAAAATGTTTGTTGGTCTGACTGGAAATTCCAGTTTCTGGAGCGAACGGGGCCCTTGCAAATGTTATGCGAACTTGGTAAGATGCTAAGAGGCCCACATGCATCTGGGGGAAATGTGGGGTTCAGTCACCGACTCTCGTAGCATACATATTCCCATTGAAAAGATGGAAGGGGAAGACGCCTTACGCTTTTGCCCATGTTTGGAGGGAGATAATATTTTCAATGCATCCCTTGATATCTCATAACCATTAGAGTTGGTGTTTTCACCAGGTTCAGAGTGTGCACAATATGGGCTGGCTTAAACCCGTCTGCAAAACTGGAAAGGGGAATGTTTTAATCCAATGGAATAGGCCCAGAGGGATTCCTCTTTTTTTATCAGCTTTTTCTTTCTAGGCCCCTCTGAAATACTCTCTGTTTGCTTTCAAAAAATGTTGCTCACAATATAAAAATCTCATTCACTCTCCCCTGTTGCAGAAAGGAGCAAGCAAATGAAAACAATTGCTGTCTGCCCTGATTTTCACAAATGTGCTTTCCCCTACCAGAAACATAGCTCTGTTGATACCATTCACACAAATGCCAATGATTTAAATTGCAATGAAAAAGATAAGAAAGTTGAATACTTACATGATGCGTACCTGTTTTTATGGGTGCAGCTGATCAAGCTACATGATCTTCGTGGTGGCAGATGCTGTCCCCAGGCAATTTCCAGCTTTTTGCTCAAACGGGCCAAGTCCTTTATTTTCAGAGTGGTCAACAATAGATGCATTTTTTAAAAAATTGATTTATATCAAAGGAAAAAGTGCCTTCACTGTTCAGACTGACAGATACCAGTGGCAGTGCACTGTTAGGGGCAAATGGATTGCCAAAAAGAAAAAAAAAAAGTTAAATTTCAACCTGTCCCTTTGCTGAATTCTTCTTCGATTTTCAGTCCTGATCCAGGGCACCCACTTCTTATCCCCTGCACCCTTTTTTGCCCTGAGAAATTATCCACCTTGAAGTCATCTTCCCACCGTCAGAGGAACTTTGGGGTTCCAAAGAACGCTCTGAGGGGGTGATTTTTTTTCTTTTCCCCTTTGCACAATCTTCTTTCAAAACTTCACAATATTTGCTCCGTGTCCGGTCCATGAGAAGCATTTTATAGATGGCAAACAGCTGGATGAAGGACACTGAGGCTATAAAGAGGCGACGGTGAGAGATGACGCTCAAAGGGGAAAACCCTTGTAAGATCCTAAGACGTCTATTTACAAGGAGGTCTCTTTCAGCAAAGCCCTCCACCCCGGGAAGCTCAGGGGCCAGAGGCAAGGTCCTCTGGTTTTAGCAGTATCTTAGCATTCGGGGGGCCAAAGAAAATCATCTTCACCACCTACAGGAACAAGGTGCCCCTGAAAGCCCGTCATTACGGATCCTGCCTGAGCATCTCTCTCCTGTAAACCATGAGAGTCAACCTTTGTTCTGCTATTGGGAACTGTATATGTACAGAGAGTTAATTTTTTACCTTAAATTATAAACTAGGCTGCTTGAATGTGCCTAAAAAAAGTCCTAAACTGATAACCCCAGTTCTGGACCATGTGAGCTTCAAAATGTTGGCTCAGACAATCGCATAGACAGGAACTAGTTGGCCTTGTCCCGGCGTTCAGGGAGAGCCACAAAGATCAAGGGACAGAGCTGTTGCTGTTCATTTTCGCTGAAGTCTCTGTGGTCTGATGGACATAATTTTGGCAGGATTCTCTGTTGTTGATGGCTTCTTTGAGTTAATGCAAGCTGCTCCTGGTATCATCAGTGATGGTGATGGTCCCTGGCCACTATCTTCTGTTGGTCTTTGATTTTTCAAAGCATCAGGGTCTTCTCCAACGACTTTGCACAAAGCATTGAAAATATCAAGTGTTGGCTTCATTATTAGTGCTTGTAGTGAGCAACCTCAATTTACTTCATCTACTTACTGAATGATTTTTTTCTTCTGCTCCAAGGTATTCAATTTTTGCCGACTGTAAATCCAAGCCTTCAATTTTTCTTCATTCGGTCTTTCTGATGGTCCACATTTTACAACCACGTATTAAAACTGGCAAGATTATAGTCCTGACAATAAGGGCCTTCATTGTCAATGTGATGTCTCTGCATTTTAATGCTTTGTCTTGATCTGTCATAGTCTTTCTCGCAATTACCAGATATTTCTTTATTTCATGGCTAGGCACCATCTCTGAATTTTTGAGCCTAGGGAGATAAAGTCCATTATTACTTCAGCTTCTTCAGTTATTTGCATTGGGCTTTGTGTTGCTTGTTGACCAAAACTTGATTCTTTAAATATTGTGCAATGGATTGACTTTTGCAAACACTTCTTTCACCTTCAACAAGTGATTCCTTTAGTTTTTCCTGACTTCCAGCCATCCACAGGGCATCATCATCAAATCTGAGCTGGTTGATATTTCTCCCAGCAATTTAAATGCCAGTTTCGATTTCTTCTTATGATATGTTCTGCATATATATTAAATAAACAAGGTGACATCTTTCCCAATTAGATGCTCCAAATTCTGTTCTGTTGCTTCCTGGATATCACATATATTATTCAACAAACAGGTTGTTTGCATTATTAGATGTACTCATATACAATTGTGAAACACAATTTTCAAAATTTGGATTAGCCATGGCAGAAGCATCTTTTTCAGTCTAACTTTTCGGTGGAAGTTGAAGGCTAATCTTTTGATCAATGACTACAATCGATCACAATGATTTTTATCCCATCATTCTCAAAAGCTGTTTGGATTTCTTCTCTGTAATGGGCACGATGTAAATGAAGTTATGATTATCTACAGGCACTCCTTGTTTAGTGAACAGTTGGGACTGGCAACTTGGTTGTGAAGCAAAGCGGTCACTAAGTGAAACCGCGACTGTGCTTACGATCTTCCTTCAGCTTTCCTTTGCTTTACAGGCCTGCAAAGGTCATCAATGGGAGGATTAGTCACAAAAGTACTTTTTCATCTGTGTTGTAACTGCAAATGGTTGCTAAACAAGAAGGTCACTAAATGAGGACCATTTGTATTCTATAAAGTTTTATTTCTTTATTTTTAAAACGGGCTGCCCTTCAGCATTTGAAGGCGGGCTAAAACAGACTCTTGTTTATTATAATATAAAGCACATTATAACGTCATAATAATACTTTATGGATTAGCCATTAGGCCGTATCAGAATACAAAATACAAAGCAAGGATATTTATTTATTGGGCAAATTTAAAATAGCCACCCACCTCACATATATGACTCCGAGCGGCGTAAAAAGTTTAAAAACACACACACAAAAATACAAGATAACCCAAAACATAACAACAAAAATCATTTTTAAGATGTTAAAAACCGTTAAAAAAAAAGATAATCTGCGGGAGGTAAGGTAAGAAGTCCCAAAGGGAGTAAAAGGAAGAACTAAAAGGAAATGCAAATCCTAATTTCTGGGACACCCCTACAATTTACCCAAATCAGATCCCCACTTTACCTCATAAATAATAAAACAAGTAAATAATAAATAATAATAAAGTGTTTATCTCAGTGTTTTTCAACCTTGGCCACTTGAGGAAGGGTGGACTCCAACTCCCAGAATTCCCCAGCCAGCCATTGCTGGTTTATCTAGACGTGTTTTTCTGCGTGTGTCGCGCATTTTACTGCTTTGGTTCAGGATCCCCCTAGCAAAAT